ACTGGCAGTGTGAAAAGTTGATGAAAAGAGAGAGTCTTACTTGTTATAATTCCCAATAGGAATTTGATATGCTGAAGCCAGCCAGATTTATCTTCTGTCATTAGCGAGGAAATGGTGAGTCATTGGTATTCCCCAACATATGGACTACAAGTTGGAGATTATTTCTATATCTGATGAAAATATATTTTAAAGTTTTGGCACCACAAAATTTAAAATAAATAGCCCCATGTGGCAGCTGGCTGTCCCAGGCAGAGATCAGAGTCTGACAAGTACTTGTCCGTGCTAAATAAACAACAGTTTGGTTTGACTCCTCTAATCTGACAACATTCGTCACTCTATTTAGTGACATTACTAAGGAACCGTCACATGACCAATCTGTTATGATAAATTAAAACCACCATTATTAACTCTCAACTATAAATTTTGGAGGGATTTTTCAAGTCAGCTCTGATAGTCAACCAAAACAGACAAATTGGTTTACACTCTTGTTTGTAAATGTTTGCATTACTGTTTCTGTTAATATATTTAAGCGTTTCAATTTTTCTTGTTTCTTTTTTTTGGTCCTAAATAGGCCACTATAGATAGATTTATAAATAGATATATAAATAGATAGATAAATATATTTAGATAGATAGATATTAACAGACTGGGACAGATAGAAATGTCAAAATAATTTTTTAACCAAATAAATAAATAAACAAATCAATGACTTCTGGTAAAATAATGTCCTTTTTAATAGACTACCCACAATGTACCACTGACCTCTATATATAAATAGCCTAGACTGGTTAACATCAATTGTGGCCTAACAATTGCATCTAGCATGAAACAGACTGTTGCCTCTAAGTGTTGACTTCAATGTTCCTTTTTAATATATATATATATATATATATATATATATATATATATATATATATATATATATATATATATATTTATATATATATATATATATATATATATATATATATATATATATATAAAAAATTGTCCATAAAATTTTAATTTTAAAAAAATTTATAAAGTTTAATGTACCTAGTTTTAAGTATAGCTAAAATAACTAATGTGATTTCAGGCATTACTGTAAATCAATTGGTAAATGTTTTCCGTAAACTGCAAAATCGTATTACCCTTTGTATTGCTAATGATGGAGGTGTGTGGAAACTCAATAAAATTTCAATAAAACCATAAAAAATATAGATTTACTTCTTTCTAATCCTTTTTTTCAAATTATTTCTATCGCAAATACAAATAAAGTTATAAATTTTTTAAAGTGCACAAATACTTTATGGACACACAGTATATATATATATATATATATATATATATATATATATATATATATATATATATATATATATATATATAAAAAAACAAGGAATTCATACATTTTCCAAGAGTGTTTCCCAAGCATGAATATAATGAATTGAAACTCGGCTGGCTGATTAACATCTCTGAGCCATTATCCATTACACCACCCACACATCCAAATTTGTAGTATGTGGTATTCCCACGAAGTCACCCATCTAGGAGCTGCATGTCAGAGGTCAATGGGTACTGAGATGACCACACCCCAGTCAATGTCATCGACCTATTGGCTAAACTGTGTGAGGGTTGTCAGAAGGGTTTCCCAACCTGAAGAGTCAAGCAGAACACCTGTCTCCAACCTACTTGTGCCATCGGCCAATTGCCAGCCTTGGGGTAGGAGCTGTGTGTCAGAGGTCAACGGTTTTACCAGTAGGCAGAGGAACTTGTAAGAGGAGGGATGGGGTGACTTCAACATTGCTAGTGTAAAAAGAACTATTAAGTCATTTCACTATTTTGTCTTGAATGTCACGATGAACCACAATTACAACAGGGTGGGGAATGGTGATCACAGTGGCACAAAATACATTGAATAAATGAAGATGACGATGGATGACAAAACAAGTATAAAAAATGATGGTAATAGGCCAGGTGTTAATTAGAATTAAAAACGGAAAGGAAGTTGTGGAGAGCCATGATCAATAAATACATTAACTCAAACAGTATCTCAGTCTCCTTGAGATATCTAAGCTTATAAATTCTCATTGCTATAAACAAGATGAAAGTTTAATTTATGCAAATTTATTTATTAATAATCTTTTCTTCAGAAGTTTGTAAAAAGTTTTCTACTATTAATATCCTATTTGTCTATTCTGAGATAATTTAAAGATGTTGATAGCAGGTAGAAATCCATACTTACCCGAAAATGGCTTAGAAATATCTCATATGTGAAGAGCAGGTATCTGGTAAGCTTATATTTACCCAGAAATATAGACTTATTCCTCTTCTTTGTGATGTGTCCCTTCAGGATATTGGCAATCATGGCTCTCCACAACTTCCTGTCCTTTGTAGCCCTTAGTAAATTTTGCTTTTTTGTTATATCTCCTTATCCCTGTTCTTCCGTTCATTTATTTAAGCTCGCTAGTTAGGTTATGCATTGCTTTCCGCTTGACTTCAATATGTCTTTTCAGTGTCAAATTTTCCCAACCATCTTTCCTCATTATGTGCCCTAGAACTTTCAACATACTTTTTCAGATGTTAAGTATAAGTAGCCTTTTTGTTTCCATTTTTTCTAATACTTCGTCATTTCACACATGTTCAGTCCATGGTATTCTCTGTATCCTTCTGTCAGACACCATTTCTGTTGCTTCGAGTTTCTTCTCCAACTTTGAGATTGTCCAGCATTCATTGTCATATAGGAGGATCAACATTATATAACGGTTATTGTTGTGGTAAACCCCCCTACAGTAGAATGAACTCTTCCTCCTCTCATAAATACTAACTGCAAGACTTCTTAGTGGCAGTTGTTTGGCAGTTGAGACACAGTGTAATCTGATCATTCAAACGGACACTTCTGTCTGCTTATTACTAACACTCTTTAACAGTCTTGCTTTGTATATATCAGTTATTTCAATACACTGGTTCAACCTACCTTCGTCTTCCGTGTTTTTCTTTTCTGGTCCCTAAACAGGCCACAACAGTTATATACCATCTTTGTTTTGAATTAAATTTTCCTGTTTTTTAATAGTTTGCTTAGCTTTTGGGAGGCATCTTTTGCTATCACAATATGTCTTTAGATTTCAGTGTTGCATTTTCTGTCTGCTATTAAAACACCTCTGAGATATTTAAATTGTTATACTTGTTTGATTTTGGTATCTCCAATTTATAATTTGCATGTTGGGTTGTCCCTTTTGCTAACAACCATTCATTTTATCTTCTTACATTTGATGTTTAGTCCTTTTTTCTTGCTTTCCTTCACAATCCTTGGTAGGAGTTCCTGTAGTTTCGGATATTAATACAGTGTCATCTGCATATCTAATGTTGTTAAGATTGATACCGCCAATAATGAATTAAGGCAGGTCTTTCTTCCTTATGAGCCTCAGAAATTTCAACTGTCTCTTCCTGATGTTTAGTATAGGTTTCCTTTTTGTTTCCATTTTCTCTAAAACCTTGTCTTTACTCACAGATGCGGTCCATGCTATCCTCAACATCCTCCTGTAGAAACTTCAACTGTCTCTCCCTGATGTTAAATATAGGTTTCCTTTTTGTTTCCATTTTCTCTAAAACCTTGTCACTGCTCACAGGTTCAGTCTATAGAACCCTCAGCTTCCTTCTGTTGAACCCCACTTTTCAAGATTCAAATTTTGTCTTCATCTTTGAAGAGATTGTCCAGCATTCACTGCTGTATCGGAGGACAGATATCACATAACAATTCAGTACACTTTTCTTAGTTTTTCTGTCTCTTAACACACTGCTTAGTCATCTTTGACTAATGTCTTTGGATCTCAGTTTCGCACTTGTCGTCCTCTGATAGAACGCTTCCCAGATATCTGAATTTTTCTACTTACTTGATTTTGGTATCCCCAATTTGTAATTTGCATTTTCAGGTCGTCCTTTTTGCTAACAACCATTCATTGTGTCTTCTACCATTTGATGTTAGTCCTTTCTTCTCACTTTCCTTCACTACCTTTTGTAGGAATTTTTCTAGTTTCTTTTCTATGTCTGCTCTCCATAATGTATCATCTGCACATCACGTTGTTAAGATTGCTACCGTCTCGTTCCATCTCTGAGGTATTTTTCTTTAATATCAGTGTTCTCTAATATCGCTGTTCCATCCTTGAATTTTATGCATCCTGTTGATGCGCATGTCTTTTCTCTTATCTTTTTATCTATATCTACTTGATCTGTGATATTAATCCTTTTTTCAATTTTTCTGCTAATATAAATACTTTAAAAACAATTTTCCTTTTTTTCAATTTTTTCATTCTAATAATGAAAATATATTTTTTAAAGTTTGCTGCTAGTAAAAATATTTAAATTCTTTTGATAAAAGTACTTTTTTAAATTTTCATAGAATGAAAATCACTTTTTTTCAATTTTTCTTCTAATGAAAATATTTAAAAAAATGTTTTGATAATGAAAATATCTAAAAACAGCTTTTCAGATAGTGAAATATTTTTTTTAAATTTAAAAATAATTTTTTTTTTTTAAATTCTCATCAAAATCTTAAAAATTGAATATTTAAAAAAATAAATATTTAGATATGAATTTGTTACTTTAAATATTTAAGATATTTTCTGCTATCAAAGTATTTTTTATATCCATTTAAAAAATTCTAATACTCACAATATTATTTTAATTTTCTAATAATCAAATATATTTTAAATTCTACACTTGATTGAAATAATATTTTTAAGAAATTTTCTGACAATCAAAATATTTCGTAAAATTTGTCTGATTAAATAATTTTTTTTTTCTTAAATTTATAATTAATTCAATTAAACAATTAAGGGAGATCTTTAAAAATTTTAAATATCAAATTTAAATAAAAACACAACACGCATCATGACAAAATTGAAAATCTGTTTGTTGAGAAATTTAAAAAAATGGCAATTTTATGTTCGTAGAATATTGATAGGCATTTAATGATGTAATTAAATCAGAAATGTCATGAAATAAACAAAAAAATGTTTTTATTAGAGACACAAATAAAATGGAAAACCACAAAGATGAAGAGGGGGGTGTGAAATGAGGGAGGAAATAGATTCAGGGAGAATGAATAGAGAGAGATGAGGTAATAAATGCAAAAAGGGAGGGTGATATAATAGATGGGGAGAGAGAGAGAGAGAGTGAGAGAGAGATGGAAAGAAAAAAGAAAAGTGAGTTGAATAAATATCAGCAGGGAGAAATAAAGAGAAAGACAGAGGAAGATAGAGAGAGAATAGGGAAAGAGAGACTATTCAAAGATAGAGAGGGGGAGATTGAGAAGAGAGAGAATGTGAGAAGAGGAGGGAAGGCAAGATAGATAAACAGAGAGAGTGAAGATAAAGGGAATATAGGAGGCAAGAAGGAGATTTAGAGAGAGAAAGAAAAATAGAGAGGCAGGGAAAGTGAGGGAGTGAAAATGAAAGAGAGGAGAGTGCAAGAATGAAGACTGAAAGAGAGAGAGAGAGAGAGAGAGAGAGAGGAGATGGAACAAGTGAAAGGTTGAGAGAGAAGAGTGATGGTAAGAAAAGTGAGATAGAATGGGAGAGAAAATGGAGAAATGAGAGCCAAGAAGAGGAGGAGTAGTGAGTGAGATGGAGAGTAAAGGGAGTTAGTAAGATGGAAAGAGAGACTTATAGATTTTATGTTTTGAAGAAAAGATCCTGATGACAAAGAGAGATATATTATATATAGATGTAGAAAGAAAGAGATGACAGAAAGAGAGAGAGAGAGAGCATTATAGAAGGGGATCTAGAAGGAAAATGATGAGAGAGTTATAGAGGGAGATGACAGAGAGAGAGAGTTATGGAGGAAGATCTAGATGGAATTTGATGAGAAATTGGAGAGTTGAAAGAGAGAGATTATAAATTTATTAGAAGGAAAATATTTGACATTAAGTATATAAAAGAGCTAGTTATATTATTTAACTATTTTCCAGATCTAAAAGGAAAGTGATGACAGAGAGAGAGAGAGAGAACTCTAGAAGAAGATATTGAAGGAAAGTGATGGCAGAGAGAGAGAGAGTTATGGAGGGAGATCTAGAAGGAAAGTGATGAGAGAGAGAAGGTTATAGAGGGAGATCTAGAAGAAAAGTGATGACAGAGAGAAAGAGAGTTATACAGGGAGATCTAGAAGGAAAGTGATTCACACATTAGATTAGAGATCTGAGATTTTCTTTTTCAACAAGAAGAGAATCTTATAGAGGGAGATCTAGAAGGAAAGTGATGACAGAGAGAGAATGATGGAGGGAACTAGAGTAGTGGATAGTGGCTCAGACTGAGGAATCAGAGAACTGAGTTCAAATTCCAGTTGAATCCATTACGTGCTAATACCCTATTCAAATAAATTAATCCTCTTCTAAATATATATATATATATATATATATATATATATATATATATATATATATTAAGTATATATTTTTATTACTATAAGCAATTATAATAAAAATAATTTAAATCATACAAAGCAAATTTTGCCCGTTTCATTGATTTAAAATCATTCTCCGCTCATTGAGCAATTGCTATCAGAACACTTTCATGAAAAATTGAAATAATTGGGAGAGGTCTTTTTTTTAGATGAAGTATTGTAACTGTTTGCACTATTTATATCGTTATAACTAAACAAGGTGATTGAAATTTAGAACTGAACCTTCAAAGACATGGTAGAATGAATAAAAGCATCGGTTGAATCCAGTGACTTGATCCGAAGAGTTGTGAGTTCAATACTTAGCTACAGCAGGGATGAACGAATACTTGGAGAGTTGAACTAAAGGGAGATAACTGGTACTGCGACATCCGGAGGAGGTATGGCACGTGGAACTAGATCAATCTACCTCGGCGGACGAAATAAAGGAGGAGAGGAGAATTGAACTTGCATCTGGAATCTTAGGAAATTTTTTAGTGCATCCTTCCGTCGGGATATTTCCTCGGTTTTGAGCGATCCACATTACGATCGTTATATAAAATCCACAAGATGATTTATATTAACTCAAGACAACCATCCTTATGCAAACAAAAGTATTGACTGCTAGGACTTAGTGTTATCTGTTTATAGATATACACAATTCAATATATTATTGATATGTGTTCAAGATGATGGTTAGATAATACTAGCAGCATGGCCCGGCGTTGCTCGTGCTTGATTCAAAAATTGTACAACTCATACAGCAATCGCTATCACGTGACTTAAAATATTTTTGCTCTTCCTTGCCTTTAAAGGAGTGCCCTTTGCCGTGCTGATGTTGCTACATGCCTTACTTCTTGCCTATCTCACACTGCAAATTTTTTTCTAAGCTCTATACTAAACATTAAATCTATTACGAATAAAGAACTAAACAAAATGAACACAAAACGATCAGCTTTAAAAAAGGACCCGTAACTGGAAAAACCGAATGAAAAAAGAATGTTAACAAATAATTTTTCACACCCAACCCAGTTCTGCGGAATCAGAATCAACATTGAGTTTAAGCAAGCGAATGAGCCAATTGGAGTAAAGTGCCATGCAGATTTAAATTTTTCCCATTTGTGACGAATGCAGCTATTGATTTTTTTGCATGCTAGCATGCTAGTTAACATTCGCGTCAGTCAGCTGTTGGCTCTCACGCTGGCCAATAGAATCTTCCTGCCTATTCGTGGCAGCAGCTATAGGCTGTCACTCTGGCCAGTACAAAATGACCGCAAACTACATGAAAACTGCCGTAGAAGCATGAAAAAATCGATTATTCCCACTATCGATGGGAGTTGGGAAATGCAAAGTCGGTCTTGGCCTTCCCGCTAACTTGGAGAATGTGCATGTAAATTTTGGTGCAAATCCGTCGAAAATTGCGGCCGTGCATTCGTTACACGGACACACACGCGCGTGCGCGCACACACACACACACACACACATCCTGCCTTTTATAGATAGAGATTTTGAGATAAATTCTGAAAGAAATTGATATAAAATCGACACAGAAGATACTTTGATCATTAGGAATGAGTACTATATTTCGGGTAACTATAGTAATAATATCTAAGAATAATCTATATTATCAGGAACGCTGTAGTAATGATATCTTAGAAAACAATTCAAATGTTTATTTAAAAATTGGAAATTTATTTTCTGAACAACTTATCAAATTCTGTTCCATTTTTTCTCCGTCCTGTTTATGACGATAGATTACATCTACGTCCTGGGTAAGACGATAAACTACGTCCAGTAGCAAGGCCTCTCATCAGGAGGTTTTGAGCAGCGTGGAACCACCTCTTAATTGCTGATATTCCCAGGTCTACCCTGAACCGGAGTGGTAACACCTGTTAGGGTCCCAGCTATGGGAAAATAGTTAACCCTCTATTTTGGGTAAAAGCACTATGAAAATGTGAAAATGTTTTAATACTAGCAATATATTTTTTGTAAAAAATTATTATCAGCAATAAATTTTTGAAGAAAAAATTCTTACCAGCAATACATTATTACCAACAATAATTTTTTTGGCAAAAAATATTACCAGCTACACATTTTTTTAAAAATATTACCAGCAATAAAAATTTTGTCGGCATTGAATAACCCATAAAACAAAAACCAAACCAAAACCATTTTTTCTGTTTAAACAACAATTTCAGCCGCATTTGGTTTGTTTTTAAGAACATTTCAGCCACTTGTTTTTCTTTTTCTTTCAGAAATTATTTCAGCCTCTTTCTCTATTGGTTGATAGACGAACTGTTTAAAATTATTATTTTTTTTTTCATATAATTTCAAATTGCTTATTGTTCGAACGTAATTTCAGCCTTTCGTTAATTTTTATTTTTTCTTACGGGAGAAACAAGATTTCAGCCTCCACTCGTACATAAATTATTGGTAATGCTCCTATTTCTGCGCTGCACTCATCTATATTTCTGTTATCATCACCATGGCAACTACAATTCCCCGTTGGCGTGCTGCACATAAATAACTAATTTCCATTGATACTTCCAGGCAGATGGACTCGCTTGATGGGCACTGCTTAGATTACTGAAGTGTTGCCCGCTTGTCCGTCAACAACTGGCTTTCCTTGCTATTCAGTCGGTCTGATGCTTACTAACCTCATTTGTGAATCATACACTCCAATGTGAATAGGCAGAGACATATAGTATCTGTTGGAACATTCAAGTGAATATTAAATATACTATAATAATACACTGCAGCAGACAATACATTACATAGCGTTCTTGCAGCTTTTTCCATTCAGCTTGCTTCGTTTAAACAGACATTGGCTGTTCATCCGTTGTGTTAGGTTGTTCGGAAAATAATGTCCGATAATTATTCCCAGAATAAACCTTTTAATTGTGTTCTAATACGTATATTATTGTAATAACTGAACAAAAAATATATTACTCGTTGCTAATGAATAAAGTGTGCTCTTTGTTAATATTATATCAATATCTTTGAGAATTTAACTTCAAACATTAATATACCCATCATCTTGAACATAAAATAAAAGAAGAGATGCGTTTACTTTTTTTTTTTTGCCCGAGTTCAAACTTGGTCACAATGCTTTTGAAACTGATGCCAACATTAACAGAGCATGAGAGTGAAGGATCCACTTTGTGATCAGGTAGTAAGACGCTGGTCTCTGAAATTACACAGTGGGGATACAAATCTTGAAGATGAAGGTCATAGAGGACATTGGAAAGGAAACGGGCCAATTGAAAGACTTCATAGTCAACATCAAGACAGTCTTTCGCTGTACGAGATACCACCCTAGACAACAGAAGAGACAGACATATGAAAACAATGACAACAGCAAAGACAAGTCAATGACGGGTCAGGGTGGATCTGTGAACAACAGCAGTTAAGAGGTAGTTCTATGCTCCATAAAACTCCCAGTCTTCTAATCCGACGTGTTGTTACCGGATGTAGTTTATCGTCATATCCAAGACGAAGAACGTGAAAAATATTTATTTTAATTCAAAGATCAGACTGTTCTGTGCATTAGTCTTCTTAACCTTTGTACGCACGAGAATCGTGGACATTAACAGAGATTAAATAGCAAAAAATCCAATCATTAGAAATGAGACGTTATAGAACCAGCAGAGGCATCTTCTATGTAGACCGGATTATAAATGACGCAGTGCAAGGCACCATCATAGAATATAGGCTGGTTGGAAGACATTATATTCACAGTCAAGCAGAGAAATTGGAAATGGTATGGACACGTCATAAGATCTAAAAGTCTTTCCACTACCATCGTACGAGATACCACCTTAGACAGCAGGAGGGACAGACATATGAAATACCTCATAGACATCAAGAAGAGAAAATTGCAATGGTATGGACACGTCATAAGCGCTAACAGTTTTTACACTACTATCGTACGAGATACCACCTTAGACAATAGAAGAGACAGATATATGAAAGACCTCACCAAGAAGAAAAAAATGCAATGGTATGGACAGGTCATAAGAGCTAACAGTCTTTCCACTACCATCGTACGAGATACCACCTTAGACAATGAAAGAGAGACAGGCACATGAAAGACCTCACCAAGAAGAAAAAATTGCAATGGTATGGACTGGTCATAAGAGCAAACAGTCTTTCCACTACCATCGTACGAGATACCACCTTAGACAATGAAAATGGAAGATCATTCACAGAGACTCCGCCATTGGCACGCAGCCAAGTCATGAGGAACAGTTCAGGTGCTATACTGCACAGTCACAATATTGCAACACCCTGTCATGTGAAGGATAATGATGAAACCATGACGATAATGAGCTTTATCGCATCGTAAGAGTGGAGGTTTTCATCGTGTACTGGTCTCAGATACTGTTGTAAGTATCCGACTCCTGGCGCCCCCCTATGCCTGTCTTTTATCATTGGCCTCGGGTTTCTGTGGGTAGATGTCTTTGGCGACTGCCCGGCAAAAATGGGCGAGCGACAGACAGATCCCCGTCGTAATTTGTTATATAGGAATAAACTTTCCCTGTCAACACTTGAGTTTGAACATAGATCGCCAGAGAGTAAACACAGGCGATCCCATTGTTGGATTAAATAGATCACGTGACCATAGAGGAAACGCATATATGTAGGAAGTAGCTGACGAATAACGATCTGCATTTCTAGTCTATCTTCTATTACTATTCGAATCTTCATTTCTAGTCTATCCTCTATTTCTATCCAAACCGCTATTCTCTACTGTATTCACTATACTATTTCTCTATTCAGATCACTAAACGGGTTACTTGTCGAGCAAGTATCATCGAGTAAGTACTATTAGCGCGAGTGCTATTTGAGGGCGTCTGATTTGTTCAACAGCGTTACTATAGCTGTAATCTGCGATTACAAAGTCTCTACTACAACGAGGATTACGAAAGTGACAACGAGTGTTCGTTGACAAAATAATTCCTATGCAACTTCTTCCCCGGTATCGAATTGATGGTGGTTTATACAGTATCAATGGCTAGAAAACGATCTGTTTGTCGAAGCTGGATGGATATTTTTTGATCTGCCTGAAAATAATGATTTTTTAGTTTTTTTTTTGTCACGGAAGTGGATACGTAGAATCAGTCAAAAATTAAACCAGTTTGTGCCATTTAGACGGTGACTGTCATGGTGAGTACTTCCGTTTTTGTTGAAGAGCAGGATTTCCGGCCGGCTAAGACAAGTATTTGGAGAAAACAGAAGTAGATATATTTTTTTAAAGATTTATTTCGAAATCTCGAGAAAAATGTAAGAAAGATTGTTTTTTAAAGCATTCCTTAAATAATATTTTCCAGGAACTTAATGAATAGTCTGTTGAAATATTATGGAGAGTTCTCTGTTGGTTTCGTAAAAAATGTGAAAGACTTCATTCTCCATTATTCAGATTGTTTACGTTCTTTTAACGATTGGCTTAAAGCAGTTTCAAAATTAACCTTGTTTTTGGGATTTTTTTTTTAAATTTTCATTCTTTATCTGAAGCCATGAAAGAACCTATTGTATGTCGTCATGTCACAACATTTATAATAAATGGAATATGGAATACTATAGGGGTAATAAACATTGCTAGTCTAATTGTTGGTGAGGAATCTAACATTTTTAAGACTTTTTGTCTCTGGCTTTGTCCAACATCCATTTCAGCGAGTCACTGGTGGATTGAATGAATGAGTTCATGAAAGTGTAAATGAATAATTGAATGAAAGACTCGGTAATAAAAAATGGAGTAAAGAATGTAGAATTAATTGCATGAACAAGGAAACAAACGTGTTAATAATTGACACAAAATGCCATTTGGACAAAACAATGCAAAATTCAATTTGCTCAAAATAAAAGTGCAATAAAAATGGCCGACGTCGAAAAATAATACCTATTCAATTTTTTAAAAGATACATAAATTTCACACTATTAAATTTTAATTACGTCTATCAAACCATATCTCTACCATCTCTTACTCGATATATATATATATATATATATATATATATATATATATATATATATATATATATATATATATTAGTAGTATATATATATATATATATATATATATATATATATATATATATATATATATATATGTAAACCTATAAAATACATTTCCAAGAGGATAGAATCCAGGTAGAACTCAATGTCCAGGACAGAGTAAGAATATAATAAAAAAAGGCTCAAACACTAATATTCCATGGTTATAATATATTACATTAGAATCGTAATCACGATCCAGTTCATCAGACCTAAAAATTAAAAAAAAAATAGGAATATTAGTGTTTGAGCTTTTTATTATATATATATATATATATATATATATATATATATATATATATATGCACATTTCTTTGAAAAACGACAGACGGGGTGCTTTTATTTCGTTTTTTTTATACAATTTTTCATGAGATCTAATAAATTTTTTTTTTTTTTCGGATGATAAATTATATAAAAAACTATCCGAATGTTCTTTTTATCCGAGCGCTTTCGGCTATACGTTTAGCCATTTTCAAGGATTAAATATTTTAGATATCTTTTATATAATTTATCATCAAATTGTATAAAAAAAAACTAAATAAAAGCGCCTTGTCTGTCGTTTTCAATGAAATGTGCATGAAAGAAGGATTGCTGCCTAAATACACACACACACACGCACACACACACACACACACACACACATATATATATATATATATAGGGTGCGATTGATAAATTGTTGTCCAAATTACGCAAAAATGAAATTAACACTGACATCTCGTTTTAACAGATATATTTACCAAAATCACACAGAAATATCTTCAAATACTTCTTCTTTTATGTACCGTGTCCCTTCAGGTCTTAGGCGATCATGTCTCTCCACGTCTTCCTGTCCCTTGTAGCTCTCAATAAGTTTTGTCTTTTTGTTATTTCTCCCAGACCCTGTTCTGACATCCATTTGCTTAAGCCCATTAAGTATGTCACGCGTTGCTTTCTTTTGTCCCTTTTTCCCTTCATTCACCTTGTGATTATCAGATTTTCCAAGCCCTCCTTTCTCATTTCAGTTGTCTCTTCCTGATGTTAATTACAAGTTTCCTCTTTGTTTGCATCCTCTCCAAAACCTCATCATTGCTCACATAGTTGGTCCATAGTATCCTCAGCATCCTTCTGTAGAACTACATCTTCATCTTTGCCGTAAGGCAGGAGAGATATCACGTAGCCGTTCAGCACTCTTTTCTTTTACCAACGAAACCCTTTTGTCGCGCACTGATACCCAGACACTCTGAAATGTTCATATTAGAGCTTCCAGCGCGAATGGCAAGCAGTACAGCCTATCGTTTCCAAATTTCTGGAAGAGTGAATAAATCCTTATGGTGCTCTTTTCGACAATTTACCCATCGCACCATTGTATATATATATATATATATATATATATATATATATATATATATATATATATATATATATATATATATTTAAAACCAAACTATTTAAAAACTAAAATTCTTGAACCTATATGCATAAATCAGAAATACATAAACTAC